GCCCCATCTCCCTCCCCGTCCCTGAGTGGACACCCTGGACCAAGCTGAGCCCACAAAGGCGCCCACCCTGAGTGCTTATCCCTACCAGCTCCATGTGGCCCCCTCAGGCACTTTCCACAGTTGGCTCAGGTGCAGCAGCGGTCCTGAGCACAGAAGTGGCCAGGAGACCCTGTCCCTGTCCCTGGGGCCCCAGAAACAGCTACTGCTCTTGAATCCCCATCCCCGTGTGCTCAATTTCTCTGGCCCTCTGGGTCCTTTCGAGGTTCCTGGTATTTACCAAGGAGAAAGACAAAGGAGGGGAGGCTGCAGGGCTGTGGGGATGGTGTAGTCCCACCCAGCCACCTCCAGCAGGATGGTGTGTGGGGCCGAACGCCTGCCAAGATCTCTTCCCCACTTTTCTGTGGGAAGGAGCTGGCCAGGGCCAGACCCCTGGCTCAGACATGAAACTAAAAGTGCCTCAGGATTTGGTCCCAGGTCCCTGTCCTCCGCCCCAAATGCCTCCAGAGCCTTCATCCCTTCAGGCACCTCACCCACTTCTACCCAACCCTGCCTGCCCTGGGCGGACCCTCCCCCAGCTCTGCCCTTCCCCATACCCCAAACCCACCTTCCCCACTCCGTTAAAACAAAGCTCCTCTTACCAGGGTATGTCACATGGCGCCGCCGAATTATTCCATTAATTTATTATTCATGATGAAAAATTATTCTAATAACATTTCCATGCTATTAATATTCCAAAGACGAGCCGTTGAAAGCCCCTTCCTGCGGCCCTCCTCTTGGTGAGAGCCAATCTATTTTTAACAAAGTGTATTGAAATTTAAATCTAATCATCCACAATATGCTACATTTAACAAATATGCTTTCAAAGAGTCTGTGAGAGGAGCCAGGCCGGGTGGTCCCGGAGGAGGCAGGCGGGTGGGCCCCTGCGGTGGGCATTGGAGGTGCCATTCTCGGCTGCCCCTGGCCCTGCAGATGGAGTCTCTGTGCCACAGTCCCTTTCCTCACTGGGGGAGCCAGGCCAGGCGACCCCGCCTTGCTGCTTCCCTCCCTCCCTCCTTCCTTTCTTTCCTTGTCCCACCCCTCAGTCCGTCCAGAGACTCTCAGAGTTTGGCTTTGGGGAGCAGGTGCGCGGGGGCCTCTAACAGGAGCTGACGTCTGATTTGGCTTTGGGGAGGGGGTGTGCGGGGGTCTCTAACAGGAGCTGACGTCTGAGGTCAGGAGTCCTCAGGAGAGGGTAGAGCCGCTCCCCAGCTGAGACAACCTTTTCTGACCACTCCCTCTTCCCTTTGGCTGCCTTCTCTATGTGGAGGGTCTTTGGCCCCACCCCCAATGCACATTGCAACCCAAGGTGGCCCGGAATCCAGCTGCCCAGGGAGGGTCCTCATGGGCACTTTGGGGGACATCCCATCCTGTTCCCTCTTCCGAGGTCATGCCACATGCCTGCTGCACACGGACACCTCCATCCATTTCTCCGTCATACGTGTACATGCAGGCAACCTCAATCATCCATCAGCAGGGGGGCACCTCCTTCTGTCTGGGCTGGACACAGAAGAATGTCTGTGGGAATGGGAGGGAATGAACGTCACGGGAGAGAACCAAGGTCTGTGGAAAATACTGAGGGAGCTGCCTTGATGTGAGGTGAAGGTGATGGGGAGGTGAAGGGCCAGGTGTCTCCCAGGAGGGAAGGGAGGGGGAAGGACCAGGTGCCTTCCTGAGGGGAAAGACAAGGTATCTCCCTGGGATGGGGGACTTCTACAAGAGAAGCAGCTCTTCCAGGTGGGTCTGAGAGAGGAAGGGATAGGGGTGAGAACTTGGGTTGGGGAGGACACTCTTGTCTCCATGAAACTGGAAGTAGGATGTGAGATACAGGGGCCAGTGAGCAGGAGGCCCTGGAGGAGAGCAGAGTAGCTCATGGAGAGCCTGTCATCCATCCATTCTTTCATTCACCCATTCATTCATCCATCTATCCATCCATTCATCTGTCATCCATCCATCCGTCATCCGTTTATCCATCATCCATGATTCATCCATGCATTCACTCATCTATCCATCCACCCACTCATTCATTCATCTATTAATCTATTAATCCATCATTCATTCATTTATCCATCCACCTTCCATCAATTCATCTATCCACTCAATTCATCCATTAATCTATTTATTCATTCATCCATCATGTATTCCTCCATCTGTCCATCATCCATCCATCATCCATCATCATCCATCTATCCAGCGCTCACTGCACCAGCCACATGGCTTTCAGTTGGGTGGGACCTTGGGGGTTCCAGTGTGTGCTGGGATTGGGGGTAGATGTGCATTCCTAAGTAAGAGCCAGGAGAAGGGGCTGACTGGAAGCCACATAAATTGGATCAGGGAGAAAAGGAAGGCAGGGAGAGGCTGACCTTAGACATGCTCAGAGCTGCTGTGTTTTGTGGGACAGCCAGACATCCCCTCTCTGTTAGGGAATGCACAGACTCAGGCCGGGCGTGGTGGCTCACGCCTGTAATCCCAGCACTTTGGGAGGCCGAGGCAGGCGGATCACGAAGTCAGGAGTTCGAGACCAGCCTGGCCAACATGGGGAAACCGTCTCTACTAAAAATACAAAAAATTAGCCAGGCGTGGTGGCGGGCGCCTGTAATCCCAGCTACTCAGGAGGAAGGGATGCACAGCCTCTGTGCAAAGTCCCCTCTGGTACCCACTGCACAGATGGTGAAACTGAGGCTAAAAAGAGGGTGACACCCACCCCAAGGTGTGCAGCCAAGCAGCTCCGTTCACATTCTCTAACCTGCGGTGGTACAGCAAGGGTAGGTGCTTGGAGAATTCATTCTCCCCGGCCTGGCCTTCAGAGGAAGGGGAGTTAGGAAACCTCCCCAGGTACCCCCGCGTGTGTATCAACGGGACCTGGGAACTGGGAGGACACAGGTGCCACAGCCCCATCCCCAGGGGAAGCCAGGGACCTTGAGGCTGTGGATGGGATGCCCCTGGGACCTGGGCACTGGGGATTTAGCAGGCCCCGCCCCCCTCCTAAGGGGGACGTGGAGGGTGAGTGGCTCAAGCTGTGTCCGAATCCAGCCTATCATCAGCCAGGATTTAGCAGGCCCCGCCCCCTCCCCCTCAAGCCCAACGTGGAGGGTGAGTGGCTCGAGCTGTGTCCGAATCCAGCCTATCATCAACCATGATTTAGCAGGCCCTGCCCCCTCCCCCCTCAAGCCCAACGTGGAGGGTGAGTGACCCCAGCTGTGTCTGAATCCAGCCCATCGCCAGCCTCAGAGGCCGAGGCGTCACCTCACGGCCACACGTGTCCCCACGTGTCGGGAAGGGCCTGTCCCCTTCCCACCCCATCCCCACCCCGCTTGCCTTCTCGACGTTCTGTTGAGTGGTTTCTAATCCCTCCCCCATGACCCCGGCGGCGGGCGGATGTGCCTCCAGGGAGCGGGCGAGGGTCCCAGCCTGGCTGCCCAGGGGCGGCCTTGAACTGAGCAGCCTGCTGTGAGGGCCCCGGCTTGGCCAAAGAACAGGTGGACGGTCTGAGGGGAACCTGCCGCCACCTGTGTCTGGGGATGTGGACCCCAAACCTGGCACGGGTCGTGACCTGGAGCAGATCTGAGCTCCATGGGCTTCCTGCCTGCAGCCCGCCGTTCCGCCCCGGCCCGCCCTGGCCTCAGCTGCCCCTTAAGCAGGGGGATGCCCATCCTGACCTCCGGGTTCCCTGGGACAGAACTAGAGCGCGAGCGTCATCGAGGGGCAGCTCGCGGGAACTTGGCAGGTGTCAGACCTCACGCCAGTGCCGCCCCCGTCAGGGTCCCAGCCACGGTCGCCACACTGGCTTTGGGGTCAACAGGGGCCCTGGGCTTGGGGTCGTGGCTCTGCTGGGTCCCTCTGCTCATCCTAGGCCCGTACATCCGCCAGTCACGCTCATCACACTGATCCCCGTGGGGCCCAGCAGGCCTCCCGCAACCCCACCTGAGAGTGGGCACCACAGAGCCCAACCCCGGGCCTCTTCTCAGGCAGAGCCCAGTGCAGGCAGAGGCGAGCACAGCAGGGCAGGCCCCTGGTGCAGCCCGTCCCCACTGTGGCCACGCAGGACTGACTGGCTTGGAGAGACATGGTTGGAGACAGAAACCAGGAGGCAGAGGGAGAAGCCGTGTTCCTGAGCCCCTCGTGGGTCTCCCGGGCTGGGCCTCCGTGTAGGGCCCCTCCACAATTATGTACAATTCTATTTGCTGAGCGGAACCAGCAGGCTACAAAACAAAGCCCAAGTTTTCTAACGTGTGGAGAGGTGGATGCAAATGCTGGCCCCGAGCAACTATTCTGGACCTGGAGGCCTCCAGTGCAGGAGAAGCAGGCAGCGGGCAGCAGGCTGGGATTGCCCTGGGACAAGAGGACCTCCAGCAAGGTGGAGGCCGGAGAGCGTGACCAACCCATTGTTCCTGGGGCTGCCCTGCGTCCACGGCCCTGCTGCTGTACATTCCTTCCTTCCTTGCTCCTGGGGAAAGGCAGAGGCCCCAGAGCCTCCGGTAGCCCAAGACCTGGGACCTTGGCCTCCTTGAGAGTCTCATTCCTCCTCCTCCGTGTGAGGCCCCCAACCAGAGCCCAGCCCCAGGGTCTCAGGGGTCCCCTGCCTGGTGCATTATTTTTTATGCCATTTAAGTGACCACTTTCTTCCTCAGGAAGGAACTTCTAAAGTAAAAGCTGGCAAGACTCAGCAGAAAATAAATATCAAAAGCTGCTTCTGCCGCCCCAGCTTCACTCAGGCCCTGGCCACTCCTTCACCGGTCTACACTGCTGCGTCCTAGAACCACCGGGTCTGCAACCAGGTCTGATGTCTGGTGTGGACATTCAGGGATGAGGTCCCCTGGGGCTAAATAAATGAACAGATTCTGAAAAGCAGAAGCTACGTCCGAGGGGTCTCTGGGCCTCAAATTGTTCTCTGACCTGCAGCCGTGAGGCGTGATGCTCACTCGGAAGCTCCCAGAACCTGGAGGCTGCCTTCACTCAACACGTGAACAAGCAAGGGGCCAGGTTCAATTAAACACCTGCCCGCCCAGAGCACCAGGCCCAAAAGCAAGCAAACAACAAACAAAATCAAATCAGGCCTTCACAACTCCCCAAATCATGTGTAAGTTTCTACACAGCAGAAGCCAAAAATATATGTTATTTAACTGGGTCCTATTTACATATATTTTTTATGGCTGCTCTAAAAAATTATCACAAACATAGTGGCTTCACCCCATTTCCCCTGATGTGATTATTACACATTGGATGCCTATATCAAAATATCTCATGGACCCCATAAATAGCTACACCCTCTATGTACTCATGACACTTTTTTATAAAGAGAACACTTAGCTTCCAGTTGTGCAGGTTAGACGTCTAAAATGGTCTCCCTGGGCTACATCAGGTCTCGGGAGGGTTGGTTCCTTCTGGAGGCTCCAGAGGAGAAGCCATTTCCTCCTTTCCAGCTTCCTGAGGTGCCCAAATCCCTTGGCCCTCAGGCCCATCCTCCGTCTTCAGAGCCAGCGGTGTCTTGTCGCTGAGACCTGCTCTGCCCTCCGCCTCTATGTTGAAGGGCCCCGAGATTCCACTGGGTCCCCCCAGATAATCCAGGGTCACCTCTCCATGTCAGGTGGCTGACTGGCAGCCTCAATTCCAGCTGCCACCCTCAGACCCCCTGGCCAGGGAGCCCATGTGTTCCGTTTCTGTGCACTGGGAGGTGGGCATGTTTAGGGGGCCCCCTTCTGCCTCCAATGGGTCTGCAGGGCCTGACTTTGTAACTTGAGATTATGCTTAGGGTGCCCAGATGCAAAAACCAAAAACGCAGCAAACAAAAACACAGGGCGCCCAGCTCAACAGGAAGTTTGGAGAAGCGGTGACTGATTTTTCAGTGTAAGTCTGTATCAAGTATTGCAGAATCCATCCAAATGCTGCCAGACACCCTGTGTCTCAGCCGCAGGATCGCCATGCTGCACTCTTTGTGTGGGCCCAGAGCTGCCGGTGCAGAGGAGGGTTTCTGAGTTGGAGGAATGGAGGTGCGGTTCCCCCGCCACTTCCTCAGGATGCCCAGTGTGGACATGCAGGGATGAGGTCCCCTGGGGCTAAACGAATGAACAGATTTCAAAAAGCAGAAGCTATGTCTGGGGGGTTTCGAATTGCTCAGAGACTTGCGGCACTCGGGAGATGCTTTCCCTGCAGGCAGCAGGCTCTGAATTGTCCTTTAGCCCCTGACCTGGGGTGCGGCGAGAAGGAGATGGAGGCAGGCCGGCGCCGCGTGGCCACAGACGGTGGTGCTGATGCACGGCTGCTCAGAGATGACTTGGAACTCGAGGCCCAGCTCGTTATTCTGGGGGTGACTGGCTCCCAGTGTCTGGATGGGTCGGAGCCCCACCACAGCCGGCCTGGACTGGAAACGGTACCCATTAACAACCCCTGGGCCACCCGGAGCCCCCAGCTCCCGAGACTCTGGGGTCTGGTTTGCGACTGTTTGTCGCTCACGGGCCCTTCCACCAGCTCCTTTCGGTGAGTGTTGATTCAGGGAGAACCGGACAGTCAGGCACTAGTTTGCTCTCTGGAGGAAAGCAGGCAGCTGAGAAAAGCACTTTGCCGCTGCCACACTGAGTGTGGACTTATTTCCTAGAGAAGCCTGTGTGTGCTGGTGCCAGCCAGGCCTCGGAGCAACGCAGCCTGGGGGTGAGGCACCCTCCCCTCCCCGCGCCTTGGGGGCTCTCCTTCGGAACCTCAGACCAGGGGAAGTTCTTGTCTCCAGAGCGGCCGTCTCGGCCTCCAGGCTGGAGTGTGGCTCACAGAGGCCAGGCAGCCAGGAGACAGCAGCCCTGGGATATTCCAAACATTCCTGGAGAGCTCCTGTGTGTGCGCAGGGAAGGACGGCCGTGAGCTTGAACCGAGGGTGGAGTCACCAGCCAAGTCTTCCAAGGAGGCTCCCTCCAGATCCACACCTGGGTGCAACTTGCGATTTTTTTATTTTTTTATTTTTTTGAGACGAAGTCTTGCTCTGTCTCCCCGGCTGGAGTGCAATGGCGCCATCTTGGCTCACTGAAACCTCCATCTCCCAAGTTCAAGTGATTCTTCTGCCTCAGCCTCCCGGGTAGCTGGGATTACAGACCCGTGCCACCACGCCCAGCTAATTTTTATATTTTTAGTACAGATGGGGTTTCACTGTGTTGGACAGGATGATTTCAAACTCCTGAGCTCAGGTGATCTGCCTGCCTCAGCCTCCTAAAGTGCTGGAATACAGAGGTGAGTCACCGTGCCCAGCCAGCTTGCGATTTTTCAGAGGCATCTGAGTTCTCCGGCCACCACAGCCCTCATAAAGAGGGGGATGGAAGCTCCTTTGGCCACAGGGCATTGGAGTGTAACTGTAAGAAGACCTTCTCAGGGAACCACCTAATCCCAAATTCTGTCCCCTGATTCAGTAAGAAATTATAATTAATTTCTTTTTCAGTAAAAGGCAAAGCATTTTTAAATTACAAGCCTGATTGAATTAACAAAATGTTAGACAATTAGCAGTCCTTTAAAATTTTTTTCATGTTCTTTAAAATGCATCTTGAATTTATTTATGTGTTTTTTTCTGTTTCCATCCTTTTCCTGTGTCCTGGATGTTAGGTAAAGAGTGTGGCCTCCCATCTACCGACCTCGTGCCATAAGGAAGCAGTCAGACCGGGGCTCTGGCGGTCCGGAGCTCAGCTCTGACCACATCCTCTGTTCCCCGTTTCCCAAGATTGCTTCTGAACACACCTTTCTCTCCTGCCCTATGGGGTACACGGCACCCATGACAGCTTCTGTGGGACCAGAAATGCAGGGGCGAGGAGGGCAGGAGGCGGAGAAAACAGATCTGGGTCTGGGTTCTATTTGTGGGTCAGCAATGTAAGAAGCAGGCGAGCTGACCGGGTGGCTGGGCCATGTGGACGCAGGTCAGCACTGCACCATGGTGCTCTCGGGAGCCAAAGAGCCAGCCCACCTTGCAGGGCTGGGCCCGTCTGTTCCAGAAACCACCTCTGCAGCCACACGGCAGCAGCTGCACTTTGATGGCAGCGTCAGATCCTCTGACCACAGCTGAAGCTTTGACCAACAAAAGTCCCAGGGAGCTGCTCAGGGCAGGATCAGAAAGGAGGGTGCTTAGCAAGCCACACACTGCTGACCCTCCCTGGGAGGCCCCGAGAGCTCTTCTCTCCTTCACATTTTCGCTCTGGCGGCCATCGTGGCGCAGACCTTGCAGCAGGGGCAGCTCTTCCCCCTGGGTCTGGCATCAGGAGCGCGTCCCACCGGCTCCGTTGCCGCAGCCTCGAAACCCCACCCGGGGCAGCAGCCGGATCAGCACTGGGGGCACCGGAGTCCCTCAACCTCGGCCTCAGATCAGCATCCACCCAGCCCTCCTGCCCCACATCCGAGCCATTTCAAAGCTGCAGGGACATTGGGACCATAGGGAAGTGGGCCGAGGACAGCGCCAGGGAAGGCTTTGTCTGAACTCAAATCACGGGGTGCTGACATTTGGGATTTTTGCCTTCCTGGTGCAGCCCCGCCCCACATGCACACTCACGTGCATGGCGTCAGCAGGATGTGGGTGCTGCAGAGGTGCCCCCACTTCTGTGTCTCCCATACAGCTCCAGGAACCTGGGTGCCCACAGGAGCCAGGAGCTGCAGCACAGGTCGGGAGGCGCCCTGCAAGCCTGCGGGGAGAAGGGAGCCGCCCCTGGCTCCCCTTCTCCAGAAATCCCAGACTGGGGGTGAAGGCGTCCGGTGTGGGTGGCCAGGAGTGGGTGCTGCACATTGAACAGTGTTGTTCAGTTTCTGTCCGCTCATGCAGCCAAGGATCAGATTTGCACACCCCAAATGCAAGGGGACACCTGGGGCACCCTCTGCAGTGCCTCCCTGTGGGGCAGCCCTTCTGTGGGGTGCTCTGTGAGGAGGGCCTGGGGTCCAGTCTGCAGGAAACTGGATGGAGCGGGCCAAGACCTGGCCATCTCCCCAACCACAGCCCCAGGCCTTCCCCTCCCCATGCCTGAATGGGTGATCCCACCTGGCCCACCTGGCTTGCCAGTGAGGTTTGCACGGCCTTCTCTTCAAGCCTTTGAGTTGACTAATTTGTACAAAAAAGCCAGAATTGACAACCTGCAAGTGTGAGTTCCAAAAATTTCACTGGCTTTTATTACCTGCCCTAGGGCCGAGAAGCTTGACCTTTTATCCCCAACTGCTAAATTGCCAGTCCTTCGGAGCGAGAGTGTCCTCTACATAAAGGAGCAGTTAGACTAATTTAAAACAGTATTGACCTTTCCTTCCTGTCCTTTTCATTTTGACTAAATTACAGGGTGCGGCTCTGCAATTCGCCTTCTGGTCTGTGAGTGACCCCGAGTCAGCACCCACCTTGCTGTGCTGCTTAATCAAGGAGAGCGCTGCTGCTGGCGATGCACAGCAGGGCACCATCCACCAATGTCCCGACCCAGGGTCTCTCGTGGGGTCAAGGTTGCAGGGAAGCCGGGCTGGGGCGAGGCCTGCCCCTGCCTCTGTCCACAGGCAGACACAGATGCCGCGGCTGGGAGGACCTTCGTGGCCCTCTCCTAACCGAGGCCTGAGAGGGGCGGAGGCTGCAGGGATCACCCAGCCCCTCAGGGCAGCACTCAAGCCAGCCTCGGGGCTGTCAGCCAGCCTGGCGGTATCCCTGACTCTTACTTCAGGTCCCAACACTCCATTTCAGGGGGCGCTGGGCCCTCCCCAACAACTCCCCGCCGTGTCCCAGGAGAGCCCCCAGCTGGCCAAGGAGCCTCACCTGGCTCACAGCTTTGCTTCCCTTAAGCTGAATTCGAAACAGGCCCTGGTGTCAGTGCAGCCTTGGCCCCCAAGGGTGACACGTCCGCGCCTTTCCGTGGATCCCAGGCTGTGTGGTGAGGGGCCCCCAAGGGTGACACGCCCGCGCCTTTCCGTGATCCCAGGCTGTGTGGTGAGGTGACACGCCCGCGCTCTTTCCGTGATCTCAGGCTGTGTGTGGGGTGAGGTGACATCGCCCGCGCTTTCTCGTGGATCCCAGGCTGTGTGGTGAGGTGACACGCCCGCGCCTTCCGTGGATCCCAGGCTGTGTGGCAGGTGACACGCCCGCGCCTTTCCGTGATCCCAGGCTGTGTGGGTGAGGTGACACGCCCGCGCCTTCCGTGATCCCAGGCTGTGTGGGTGAGGTGACACGTCCGCGCCTTCCGTGGATCCCAGGCTGTGTGGTGAGGTGATGCCGCCGGCCCGCGCCTTTTCCGTGGATCTCAGGAAGTTGTGTGGTGAGGTGACACGCTCCGCGCCTTTCCGTGGATCCCAGGCTGTGTGGTGAGGTGACATGTCCACGCCTTTC